AGTGCACGGAAATTGTCTGTAGCCCATTTAAAAATAAACAACAATAAAATAAATAATTAAGAAATACGCTGCGCTGCGCTGCTTTCTGCGTTTAATTATAAACAAAAGGCACAGCAAAGGCACAGCACAGAGCAGAGCAGGCAGCGCACACATTCGCATTGTTGTTGTGAATCGAGCAAGAAATTAAATGAAAAATGAAATAATAAAACGCGTATTACATAAACGCTCGAAATAAATACATACAAATAAAAAAAAAGAAGCATCGTACTCGTGCGAGTACTCATACATATGAGCGAATATCTTAATAAGTGAATCATTATTATTTTCCGAAGAAAAACGCCAGAAGGAGAAGCAGAAGAGTGGCAGAAGCAGAAGAAGCCACACGCGCGCAGCTCCACACGAAAATTGATTAAATAAATAAATGGCCAACAAAAAACTAGAGTTTTATTTATTTGCTGCGGTATTTATGTATTTTTGGCCTCGCCGCAAGAAATAAATCAAAAATCTCGGAATCGAAAATGAAACTAAATTCAAAGCCAAATGTGAATCCAAAATGCGTATGCGTATGCGAATGGCCCAAGATATTCTTCGTATATTTTTGCTTTTAGGGGGGCGTGATGCCTTTATATATGGGATTGTTGGGTTTATAAATTTACACCAAAATCCCCATCATCTAGTGTCCGGAGAATGATCTTTAGTCGATCACTGTTCGCTGTCCATAGCCCTCCCCCTCCCCACACTCGCCCATTGTCTACTAGCCGCTTTAGTCGTTCGTTTTAGTCGTCTCCTCAATGTTTGCTCTTTGAATTTTCATTTTTTTTTTGTATTTGTTCGTGTGTGTGCTTTTTTATGTATATATTTATATATTTTTTTTATTTATTTAACATCGTTTTTTCAACAAGCAATCCCATCCCATCCTCACATCAACATCCATCGCAATGCGAAACGAAACGAAACGCTTCTCTCGATTGTTTTAGTATCTGATTTTTTATTTACTTTTAATGAGTCGCCAGCCGCGAGGAATTTGCGAATGCTTAAAACCACACAAAGATTTCTAAAATGTTTTTGTTGCGGCTAATGATTGCGGATTATCATGAGATGCTAAAAAGTTGGAGGCACTGCTATTAGGTAGGATCATTTTCTAGCTTCTCCAAGGGTATATTGCCAGCTTCGACTTGAGCGTAAGCTCTACTTTTGCTTGTAATTTATTAGGTGCTCTTTTTGTTTGCTCATTTACTAGAATTTTCGTCTGGCTTTTTACTCATTTTGTTGAATGTTTTCATCTGTTTTTACACATTTACTAAAATGTTTTACGTTTATTTCTACTTTATTTCTTTATAAAGTTGTATTTTTTATGGGCGGCAAATGACAGACAATGAAGGCCCCAAAGTCGTCTGGGGAGGGCTGTAAAGGCCATAAAAAAAGTATAATGCATAAAAAGTTGCACCTAAAGTTGTAATCGCTTGCTGGGAGCAGCAATTAAATCATCTAAGAGGAGATTTTTATATAAAGAAATTAAAATTTCCCTCTGGAAGCAGAGCAGAGGTTCTTCTATAAAGAAAATCTTTCCCCATTCATCATCGCCCAAATGAACCGAATGGATTCACTGACTTATACATAGTAGTATGTGAATTATATTTAAATGTATTTCCATCTATTTTGCCTCTACCACCTTCCATCTGTATCTTCATCTTCCATTTGCCATTTACCATTCGTTTTTGGATTCACAATCCCATTCGAAAATAGACTTATTAATTAATTTATGCAGACACGTTTTAGTTTTATTATTTTTAAATTTGTGTAATTTGTGCTTTAGCATACCCCTCAATTTGAAAAATAGAGGGTGTATTAGGTCTCATCGGCTCTGCACATAACTCTCGTTTCAAGGGATATATCAATGGTCGGGGTCGAGTTTCAGATGCCATCGAATTCTGATTTGTTATGTTTATTGTTTGTTGCACAACAACAACAACAACATAAACAAAAAACAGCAAAATCGACTTCTATTTTATTATGTCTTTGGGCATAAATTATTTATCTCATTTTGGCTTCAAGTTTTCTTTCAATTTTTTGGGCATTGAAATATATTTTTGTTGTGCTGCCTGCCTGTTGTTTTCCTTATTTTTGTTGTATTTGTATGATGATTATTTTGCATCTCTCGGTTCATTTAACAATATTTTTTTGATTTTATATTTTCGATTTTTATGTCTCATCTAAAGGCTGACATTTGAAATTTAAATAGATTAAATTTTATTAGTTAAAATTGACGAGAAAATATGCCGCGCTGTGCTCTAGGACAACAAAAAATACCAAAGTTGTGCCAGAAATAAAAGGGAGAAATTATGACCGAAGTGATGGATACACTTTCAAGGTTCTAATGGCTGCTTATTACAGCTTATCAAACATCTTTTTTTGTAAGGATTACTCTTGAGAAATTTTATTTTATTATTAATTTATTTTATTTATTTATTATTATCCAATCCACATGCAAAATAATTTAGATTATCCATAACCTAGATGACTAATGGATGAATAATATTAACCCCCTGAAAACCTCCTCTACAGCATAATCACAACACCCCCTTTTGCGGGTAGAGTACAAACAACATAGTTTTTGATTAATAAATGCGACTCTATGCATTGGATTTACGATCTATATGTATACATAAATACATACATATATGTTTATGATCCATCTGGCCATCTGTTTAAGATAGTTTTTATAGCTCAGGAAAAAGAGAGCGCAGGGGATGAGAGCGCTTAGCGGGTATATTCTTTGATATTTCGTACAAAGGAACACTATTTTTTTTTTTGTATAAAGTTTTATTATTTTATTATTATGATGAATACTACATGTCCCCCCGCCCCTGTAAATGGGATGTTGTAGCTGCAGTTCAGCGCGTTTATTGTCGCGCACAAAAAACGCGCCGCGTCATGAGCGAACCATAAAAAAAAAAGAGTCCGCTCTGTTCGCTGTGGCTGGTCTGTGGCTTTTGTTTTGTTTTGTTGTGGCGACGGGTGGGGTTGGGGTTCATTTTCATTCATGCAGACAATTGGAATGCTTTCATTTAGCATTTGTCTTAGAAATGGACCCAAGCCTCGTTAGGTCGCTGGCCTCCCCCCACCCACCTGCTGTGGGGAGTTGTATGTATAATTAGCTTAGAGCCCAGTGGAGCCACAGCCGCTCCTCTGTAGCTGCAACCTTTTAAAACGTGGTGGAGCCCGAAGTGTGAATCAATCAAAAGCGTAGCTATTTTTAAGCACTGCTAAACTTTGTATTTGATTTTTCACTCGACAGCCGCCACACGCCGATTGCCGATGCAAACGGAGCCAGCAAGCAGCGAAAAAAAAACAACAACAAAAACAGCTGACTATGGAGATGATACTGTGGATCGTGGGATTGGGGTTTGCGGAGACTGGGGAGAATCTCTCTAATAAAAAGTGAAAAAGCAGCAACCATTTTTCGGGGGGGGGGGGGCCTAAAGGCCGGCCGCAGCAAATGTATTAAAATAAAATTTAAACATTTGGTCGCCGTCTGGCGACGCTTCGCTCCACTCTTTCCTCTGCTGGTGCTCTCTCTCTCGCTCTCAACATCGCTCCATCTCTGTTCTTTTTTTTATAACATTTGCGCATGCGCAAACTGCCAAACGAGCAAATTAATAATTAATGCAAATAAACACACAAAAAGCAGCGACACGACCAAAAAGCAACAAAAATTAAATACAAAAAAAAAAAAACAAGCTACTAAAAGAAGAACAAAAGAAAATACAAAAAATCAGAACGCACGTGTAACAGCGCTTTTGATTAATAAAGTAACAATTTAAATAAATATTATTAATAACGCCACTTTTGGTGCGGTGCGGATCGGTGCGGGGAGTGTGGGGATGGTTGGGGCTATAAATAACGAGGCAACGTTCGATTGAATCTTCGGATGAATGTGTAAATGTGAATGGGAATTGGAGTTTAAGAGCGAATTCGGAATCAGAAATGGGTTTTGTATATGGCTAAAGGTATTGGCAGCGATTTACGTGTGGATCAGCAGCAGATGCTATGTGGCTCTAGGGCTTTGTTCAATGATTAAATTAATAGTCCCAATAGCTGTATAAATGTTTAAATGGTAATTGAATAACGGGATTGTCGTTTATGGTATTGGAAGTTGAAAATACAAAGTCAGATCCGTAGATCGATCGGCTATGATTAATAAAGTTCAAATTTAGATTTATATTGTGATAAAGAGGACAAAGAGCTTGCAGCTTGCTACAGCTACTTTGATTAACGAAATGCTCATAAATGGTAAACGTGAATGTCCTGTTTTTGGTATAGAAGACTGCGCGCGGTCAATCAGTAGTAGGAGAGGGCTGAAGGAGGCTGAAAGTTGCCCTCAATTATAGCAGAGAAAAACGACTTTTCATTCATTTCCGCTATGCCCCCGGGGGGCAGTGCCTAAAACAGAGGAAAACAGAAGGAACAGCAAGCAGGCAAAGGCAAATGCCTCAAAACAAAAAACAAAACAAAAAACACTGAATGGAAATGATTCGAAAGAAATACAAGGGAAATGTAAGTCCCCCCCCCTGCAGTATGAAAAGCAGCCTCGTCACGATGACAAAGGTGAAACACAACAGCAACAGCAGCAGCAGCAACGGGGCTGGCTCTCCTACTACGATTCGTATTCGTATTCCATATATGTATCTTTACCAGTGGAAAACTATATATATACTCGACACAAATGTGCCTCAAACTGACCGACAAAAATGAGGGAAAACTATGCTTAGGAGGGGGTGTTCGGTCGAGTGGGTGGGGGGGGACTTTACCTTTACGTCTCTGCCAAGAAAAAGCCATTAATTAAAAACTATAAAAAAATTACACGATCATATTTTATTGTATTCGGGGGGAAGGTATTTTCGCTCTTTTACATTTTATATTTTTAATTGCTGTCGACGTAAAAGTTTTCCCACTTTTTTTTTCGTATTATTATTATTTAAATTTCTTTATAATTACAGTGCGGGAGAGAGACAGCAGACAGAGAGGATTGTCGTTTGTTTCTTTGTCTCCAGCTCACTGGCTTAATGCATATGCGATGCGATTACAGTGTAAGTATTTCCCCCACTTTTAATATTCGAAAAGAGTGTGCGAGAGAGGGGGGAATGAGAGTGGGATAGTGTGAGTGGAAGAGTGGGAGTGGAGCGAGTGGAGCGAGTGGTATGGGTTGGCGTGGTGGTGTGGGGTGAGGGGGTTGTCCGCTTTTAATGACCATGCGGCAGGCGTTGGCTTTCAATTGACATGAGCACCTGTCTATCTGTATAATTTCTATATGTATTTATTACGCACACTTTTAATTGTTGGATTCAATAGAACTTTTTCTTCTATGTATTAATTCCCAAATACCAAAATGTAATTACAACTTATGGGGTTAATTATATGTGGCAAAGACACCAGAGAAACTGCTTGCCTAATTAGAAGGAAGGAACGAATTCAAAGGGAATTTTAAAGACAAAAGTTTTGAAGGAAACAAACAAACAAAATCTCTAGCAACGATCGGCAGTTGAACTCATTTCCATTTAAGGGGGGGGAGCGGAGATTTGGATCTTTGGAGATTTATTATATCATAATTTTGGTGAGAGCGAGAGAGCGAGAACGGGAGGGCAGCTTGAGTCACCTGCTGCTCTGAGTGCTGGGACCACTCCCCAGACACGCTTAATAAACCAATTTCATTATAAGCCGATGACATGAATCAGAGATCGGAGAACAGCATCACCTGGTGCTCCTCCTCAATTCTCAATCTCACAATCATTACAATAATCATCCGTTGCACCACACCAAAAATGATCTGCATCTGCATTTGCATTTGCATTTTGCATCTGTTGTTAGTCAGCATTTTGTCATGCTATAAATTTAGAATTTAATTTCAAATTTTCAAATATAGTTATGCTTCAAACAAAAGGCCGAGATCGAGTGGAAGAATTCACCAAAATTATTGAGTGAGTGAGTGAGTATCTTGTATCTGGTATCTGGCGCACATTCGAAAGACAGTTCAAAGACCTGTTCGGCGAACAAGAAGAAACACACAAACACACAACAATTATAAAACGCTATTCGTGAATGTTTTTCGATAGCGAAACCAAAAAAAAAAGTGTAAATGTCAAGAAACTATCACACATTCAAGAGATTCGAACAGATTCAAGCGATTCATACAGATGAATAATAATAAATACAAGCAATTAATTATCATGAAACGCGAGGCATACAACCATGGCTGTGCCACTACCACCACCAGCTGCTGCCGTTGCTGCTGCTGCTGCAACGAGGGGAAAAGATAGATAGATACAGATATTCGTACTCGGATCTGGTGGGAATTATTTTGTCTAAATTGCAAGTCGCTGACGCGGCGGTTTTTGCTATGCTTAACCGATTTCATTGTACAATAAATGTACATACATAAATAATACAAGAAATGTGTACTAAATAAATACCCTAGATCTATCGGGGAAAGGGAAATGTCAAAGAGCTAAGCTTATAATCTTTGGGTAACGATACAAATCACGATGAAAATATCTAAATATTATATGGGTAATACATTTATCATTCTGGGTAAGAAGCGATAGAAGGAGTCTTAGATGCCTTTTTTTCTGCTGATTCGGGCAAAGGTTTTTGTTATAGAAATACCCTATAAAATGCTACTTAATGACATAGACATCACATCGCCTTTCATTCATTGCGGGGCATTCAACAGCAGTGGCAGAGCAGCTACACGGAAAATGACTCAGCCACATAAATTTAATTATAGCTCGGGCGCAGAATTTATTTAGTTTTGTGCCTCAGTCCATTATAAAGTAGGCAAACACACAGAACAGAATAGAGCACAGCACAGCCACATCGAAAGCCACACACGGAACAACACACGGGAAACACGGGGAAAACATATTGCTGTGCACATTTATGTACGATATATAAAAATATTTAATTAATTATATGGCAAAAGAGTGAGAGGGGGGCAGGGAGCATGAGACTAAACTAAAAGTATTCCTGGAAATGTGGCAAATAAATAAGCAAATAGATGGGAAATACTAGAACTAGCTAAAGGTTGGGTCTCCCGCAGAACCAGTGGATAGTTTTTCCTGCTTTTCCAATCGGTTAAACTCTACCATGGGATGTTGTTGGCTGGTGGCTGTTAGCTGTTTGCTGTTGTGTGTGAGGCATTTAGGAAAAAATTAGACAGCATTTAGTTTTCAATTTTTGTCGTGTTTTTGTGTGTTTTGTGCCCCGAAAATGAGCGGTGGCACACATTTGCGATTCATTTAAATTTATTGCTGCTGTTGCTGACGCTGTTGCTGCTGTAATTAATAAAGTAAATTTGACCTCACACAGATGTAGACAGACTCACAGATACAACGCCAGAGTCTGAGAAGACAGGCGACAATATGAATGAATGAATGCCAGAAGATGAATATGAGCATGAGCCGGGGCAGAGCCCAAATAGAGGCATGACAAACGGCAGCGAGTGCAATTAGCAGGCAGCAGCCAACTGGCAGCCAACAGGGCAACAGAAGTTGCAGATACATCTGTATCTTCTGTAGACAGTGTAGTGTGTAGAGTGTAGACTGGGGCAAGTGCCTTGATAAATGCCTTTGACAGCGCAGAAAACAAACTGTGCAAATATTTGACAAAATACAACTATAAATATTGCTTAAGAATTAATGCTGCTGCTGCTGCTGGTGCTGGTGCTTCTATCTGCTGCTGCTGCTGCTGCTACTGCTGCTGCATGCATCTGTCGCCTGCAGACAAATAGACGCGGACGCGAACGCTAACGCGACTCTCGCGCATACAGTGACACCAAAAAGTGCGTGACAAGACGCTGGGGCACAACTGTGCGGTGTGGCTTTTGCGGCCTGTCAACGACAGCAGCAGCATAAGCAGCAGCGTGGCAGCAGCTTCATCTACAGATGCGGTGTGTCCGAAGAACCAAGAACCGCATGTATCTGTATCTGTCGCTGCTACCACCACACACTCCACTCCGCGAGTAACGGTGTCAATTTAGCAACCGCAGCGCAGCGACTCTCCATCAGATGCATGCAGCAGGCAGGCAGGCAGCAGGCAGGCAGGCAGCAGGCAGGCAGGCAGGGCGTGGTCAGAGGCCTGCCACGAAGTTAGCTTTTGTCTTTAAGCCATTTCCTGGGGGCCATGAGCCCATGGCTCTCTCTCTCTAACGCTGTTGACACTTTTGTGCGTCGTGTGTTTTGTGCCGTTAAATAAATATTGAATGGAAAATGAATGTATTCATTGAGTAAATATTGTAAATGCGATAGATAGTTGCTGTTTGTCCACGAAAGAAAATGCAGAAACACCCGAGAAGGAGAAGGAGAAGGAGGAGTAGATGTAGAAGTAGAAGTAGGACGGGGATGGGGATGGGGATGGGGATGAGGCCAAGGAGTGTCTGCATTTGCATTTTTGTGGCACAGGTGAAGCCAGTTGCTGTCTTGTGTATCTTGTGGATACATTCTGAGACCTACTTCTTGGAGAACAACTTCTCCCTAGAATATGGATGCTTACTTCTCGCTACTTCACCCCCAACCCCTCCTGGTGGTGACAGGGTGGGGCAAATGACTTTCTAAACAATTTTCTTGCCTCATGCCTCATAAAACTAATAAAATGCATAAAAATGGGGGAGAGGAAAACCCCCAGAAAAATTACAGAAAAACTCACAGAAATACAAAACGAAAAAAAAGAACAAAAAAAAAAAAAAAACACTAAAAACTCAGAAAAATGGAAACATATGTTTCGCTTTACAAATTATATATCCAATCGTAATAATAATTATATGCCTCAGAGAAGCGAAGGCCCAAGAGAGGCAGAGTGCTGTGTAGCAGACACACAGATGATTCGATTCAGAGCGAAAGAGAGACAGAGAGAGAGAGAGAGAGAGGGAGGGAGGGAGAGAGATCTTCCCATCCATGTAGTACCTCATGCATTCGGATCTTTCCTGGCCACCACCAAGCGGCGGGGGTGCAACAGAAAGAACAATTGCAACGGAAAGGAAAGAGAGAGGGAGTGGTAGCGGGAGGAGGAGAGGTACAAGAAGATAAAGAGGAAGAGGAATGGCTAAATTAAGAAATGCAACCAAGTGAAGGAGGAGGGGTGTGGTGTGGTGTGCTGTGCTGTGCTGTGTGTAGTGCAAGCGGGAGAATAAATAAATTAAAGAAAAAAAAGAAAGAAAAAGAATTTGTTCTACGGGAAATGTACACAAAGTAATAAATATTGATGTTCCCGAAAGAGAGAGAGAGAGAGCGAGAGACAGAGACAGAGAAGAGGAGCGGGCAGAGCGGAATGGAATGGAAGAACATTCCTCTTACATGTGTTTCTCCTTTCAGATACACAGATACATGCATCCACAAGATACATTTAATAATTCACAGATGCATTTGCAGCCAGCAGCAGCAGCAGCCAGCAGCAGATGTGTTAAAATTCGTAAAGTAATAAAATAACAAATCAAATGCCCGGCGCAACAAATACACAAAAGATCCATGCATCAAACGATGTGTAGCAGGGAGAGGAGAGGAGAGGAAAGGGAGATGCAGCGATGTGGCATCGCAACTTCAAAGGAAAAGTCGAGTTGGTCGAAATGCCGTGTTTACAGCCAGATGCATGCAACAGCAACAGCAGCAGCAGCAAATGCAACATCCATCGAATGGGATTGCGGGATAAATAAACATCGGAAAATACACACCACACAGGGACAAACACACACAGGAAAACAGGAAAACAGGAAAACATCGGACGGAACACTTCGCTTCTACGAGAAATGGACTCCACTCCTCGATTTCGCTCACTTTGCTGCCTGCCACTAATTTCACACCAAATTATGCTCCTGCCACAAGGATGCTGTTGCTGCTCTATCCGATGAGACGCCGCCGCCACAAAAGGATTCCCGGCCGCAGTGCCTAAGCAACTGGAAAACCCACGAGCCACAGCAGCAGCAGCAACAGCAGCAAAAGCGGCAGAGGCAGAAGCAGAAGCAGGCAGCACTTGCAGCTAGAGCTAGTGGAGTGTACACTGAGAACAATTGGGCTGTTTTTATTGAATTTTGCGATGCATT